GTCTTCTCTTATTGCTTTCCCCCCTCCAGTGATTGACTTGACTGCTGCCGCTGCCCAAGATTTCTGTCAATGTACACTTCATCTTCCCTTATAGCCTTAAGTGTGGCTACTTGCTGCTCCAGTTCTCACACTTTTTCTTCTAATAATGAGTTTGCACTCTTTCCCCCCTCCAGTGCCTCTATTGACTGCTGCCGCTGCCCAAGATTTCTGTCAATGTACACTTCATCTTCCCTTATAGCCTTAAGTGTGGCTACTTGCTGCTCCAGTTCTCACACTTTTTCTTCTAATAATGCCAACAGTTTGCACTTACTGGATGTGTATGCCATGTTACACTCAGACACAAAGACAAACATTGCACAAACTTTGTAGGCAACTACAACTGAAGTGTTTCTTCCCTCAATAATCCCCATTAGCTTTTTGCTTTAATGTGGTTGTCTGTGAATACCCTTCTGCTTTATTTTGTTATCTTGAACATAGGTGAGAAAGTTCACTAATATAGAACTACTTTCAAACATCCAAATTTTTTTTTTGTTAGGGGCCTCTCCCTTGGCCTCCCCCAATCAAACTGTGTTCTGTTCAGAGTCAGCAATCAAAAGGCCTTCCCAGAACTCACAGCTGCTACTTACAGCTCTCAGCAGTACAGTGGACCCTTGACTTACGGAATTAATCCGTATTGGAACGGTAGCTGCAGGTAGAAAAGTCTGTAGGTCGAGGCTCCATTGACCTACAATGCATTGAAAACTGATTAATCCGTAACTGGCCGTTTTTGTTCCATTTTTTTCCAGTCTGTAGGTCGATTCTCTGGCTGCAAGTCGAACCTAAATTTTGCGGCCAGAGAAGTCTGTAACTCGAAAAGTCTGTAAGTGGAGCTGTCTGTAAGTTGAGGGTCCACTGTAATCAGGACAGACTCCCTTCCTCTTAAGGTCAGTACATGGCCCTTGCTGTTAAGGACACACACCCTTCCTGTTAAGCTGAGCACATGGCCCTTGCTGTAAAACTGAGCACATGGTCCTTCTGTAAATTATTATTATTATTATTAAAACTGAGCACATGGTGATTCTGAATACAGAATTCTTAGGGGTTACTCCAGGTCCCTTCCTGGTGTTAATCTAAAAACACTCAGCTCTCCTACCTACAGTTTCTTGATTTGGCAGCCTTCCCATCCTCCATCTCTACACAAATCAGTGGTGTGTGCATGCAGGATTGCTCCCCTTTGATCAATATTGTAATTGTTAGTGTTAATGCATCCTGTACTTTCTGTTACAACTTTGGCATTTGGCTCGATTTAGAGGTGGGGGTGAAAGTGTGGACCAAGAACCACCTGGTATTTGGTAGCATTCCATTAAGAAAGATGAGGGCAAAGGCATGGTCAAGCTTAGCTTGGGTGCCAGAGGCCAGTCCTCCTCCTCAGTGACAGTGTCATTCCTGGGGTGACCTCAGCTGGCAGCTGACATGGTGGCTGATGATATCAAAATGACACACAAGGTGACTGATGTGCTGGGTCCTGTCCAGAGCCATGGGTACTGCTGTTGTAACCAATAAGGTTGTGAACTTAATTTTTCCAATATGTTGTCGGTCTGTTTATTCCCTTCTTTGCTAGAGTGGGGTGGGGCACTTATTGTTAGGAGTTTAAGTATTTTTCATTTTTCTTCCACATCAGAATTTGTGGCCCTGCAAAATTCTGAAGTTTTAGATTTTCTTTCTTAGAGAAAAGATTTATTTCTTAAAGAAAATGTTTTCCAGTGTTTTCAGCACATGCACAAAGAAAGAATATGTTGTCGGTCAAGATAATGCTACTGAGTTAGCCCACTTCTGGGCAAAAGAAGTCTAATCATATTAAGGTTTTAATTCATTTTTAAGTTTTCCTATATTTCATACACCTCCGTAATTTTAAATTGTGAGGTGCTCTGATACTAATTAATAAATACAGAATACACTGGATTTTATTACACTATTGATTATTCTTGTCTTTTAAGCATGTTAAATGTGAGTTTAAAATACCTTAAGTTTCAGATAATGTAGAGATACTTGAATAGCTGATACATAAAGAAATATTGATTATAAATTGTAAGTCAATGGCTTTTTTTCTTTCCATACAAAGAAAAAAAAAACAGTTAAGAAGGAGCAGAAGGAAATTTTGTTGAGGAGGAAATTATTCCTTTTATTGATAGTAGTGCTAGGAGTCTCTCAGTGTTGCTCCTACTTGTACTTCACAGTTGGTTCTCCAGTACTGGCATTCATAACTGATCACAGCTGATCAGACAGTAAAGTAGAGAGGTGTAAGCTGAGGGGTGAAAGATCCTAACATCAGAGGCAAAGAAGACAGGAAGAAATGTAGCTTAACAAGTTAGCTTTCTCTGCAGTATCAGTGCTGAGGTCAAATATCCCATTTGCCATAGACACAAATAAACTGTAAATATTATAGTGTCCTATAGAAATGATTTTCAAATCTTCTTCAGGGCACATAGAAATGCAATTTCAGATTGCTGTTTCTCCGTGGATGGTCATTACTTGTGCACAGCAGGTTGGGATGAAGACATAAAGGTATGGGATATCAGATTTATTTATTTATTTATTTATTTATTTATTTATTTATTTATTTATTTATTTATTTAACTTATATGCCGCCCACACTACCCGAAGGTCTCTGGGCGGCTTACAGCATTTAAAATACAATAAAAAGGCAAAAAAAAGGGCAAAATAATTAAAATGCAATTAAAATATATATTCTAAAAGTTGCCATCAGACCCACATTTGATGTTATTTCAGTTAAAAGCCATTTGGAACAGGCTTACAGCATCTTCTACACAAAGGTATACAGTGTTTATTTCAGATTACTCACACAGTCATGGTTGAACCACTATTTCAGTTCTCATTTTGAAAAATGAAATGGTTCTCCATTTTGATTAAATAATTGCTTATCTGACTGAGATGAACTAAACTTGATGGCAAAAGTTGATGAGGACATGGGTGTTTAGCCCATTTTTCATTCACTGCAGGGATAGGCTAATTCACTCCTAAAGGTGGCAACCAGATTACTTTTTTGTTGGAGTGAAGCAGTCCGCTCCCAGAGCTGTCCTGTCCACACCTTTCTGCCTCTGTCAGGAGCTTCTGGGTAGGATCACTCTGGTATGGATCTCAGACAAAAAAAAAGACATGAAAATGTTGTGGCACCATAAAGACTAAGTGCTATATCTCAAGTTCATTTCCTCAGACATTGGGATATCCAAACCATTCTTCAGGTTCATATCATTTCCAGTGAATGTGATCACTGGAAACAATCCAAAGCAAGCCTTATTCTTTCAATTTTTCAATACTGTGAAGTGACTTAAGAAGAGAGCCACTTTACAATATTGGCAAGTTAGATGCTTCCTTGGTTCTGTGGAGGAACGGAGGAAGTGATTTTTTCCCCAAGAACCTGCCGGTTCAGCTGCAGCCAGGGTCTTGACTGGAGCTTTAAGAAAAAAGCAAAGAAAAATCCCTTTGCCCTCTTCTGTCTCCTCCTCTTCTGGCTTTTTTAAAAAAAGTGATGAAATGCATATGTGCTGCCCTAATAAACCTAAAACATTTTTATTGCATTTACTAGGTTCCTTCATGGAACCAAGGAAGTGTTTCATTTACTAATGTTCTTAAGGAACTCCATGAAACTGAGAGCAGGCCATTGAAGACCAATTAGAGCTACTTGAGATACATATGCCATTTGGATGTAAGGATCAAACAAATGGTATACCATATGTGGCGTTCAGCTCTGCTCTCACCTGTCCGTCACAGCTGGGCAGGGGAACCTCAGCCAATGAGAGGACGGAGGGTGGTGCAGACGTGGGAGGAGCTGGGTTATATAAGGTGTGTGTGAGGAGTTTGGAGGGATCAGAGTTGGAGAGATGAGTGATTAGAGTGATTGATAGAGTAAGAAAGAGCCTGTCAGTGAGGGAAAAGTCTGTGTGAGCTAGTGCCTGAGAAACAGTGATTGTCAATTTTATAACAGTGATTCACCCTTTTTATTTTGTGTAATCAATAAACCTTTTATTTGTTTGAAAGAAACCCTTGTCCTTTTGATTTAAAGGATAGGTTGGTGGCAGCAAGTTTTTGAAGAGAAGTAGTGGGCACTCTTATAGGCCTGGATGGGTAGAGGCTTGAGAGTGGCCTGCTACACCATGCCTCCTGTCAACCTTACTGAGACCAGTTCAACCCACTCCTTTGACACAATGTAGGCAAGCCATTAGTATTTTAAAACATCTCTTAGTTGATAGACTCATTAAGAGGAAATATGTGAGAAGAGAAATAAAATGCCACATTATATAACATGCTGAATTATTGCTGCTATTCTGTTTTATTTAATGTGGCATTTATACATGAGAAAAAGGACTGTTCTGTTGTTGGATATGTGTTTTGCCATCCAGAGGACACTTGTGAAGATCATACACTGCTGGATAGATAAATGATCCTTTCACCAAAATCTAAACTGGCTATTCTTACCTCCTATCAGACATTTGGGGTTTGAGCTTGGAAAACCTGAGTTAGTGACAATATCATATTGTATTTAAACTGTTATGCTGTGGCTTGATTATGCTCCTGAGAAAAAATGTAAAAGTGAATAAGTATCTATGGTGGGATGCAGTGACTCTTATACTAGTGTACTGTGTCTTGTGAGGCTGTAAGTTGACAAATAGGCACATAAATTAGATTCATGTTTGCTTTAAGTGGAAGAACTTTAATCACAATCAAATATTCTGATATGCAAACTATATGATATCTGAAGTTTGAAATATAGATTTATTCTGATTGTGCAGCTAGACTCTGGCCAAAATCCTAAATTTTTTCAAAATTGCCCAGTTATGCAAAAGTTGTAACTTTTTGCAGCAAACTGCTGAAAGGTTGAGAAATCTACATAGACATTATCTGTTGCTCACCGATTCTTGATGCAGTATTTCCGTTCTGTAGATTTAATTATCAAGCATAAGGCAATCACATATGACATTACAATTTATATTTCAGCTTCCCTTGTGGTGTCTGGAGGTTATGATAAAAGTATTGTTATCTGGGATTTAGAAGAAACATATAAAAAGCTAAGTTTAAAGGTATGATATAAGCTTTCCTTTCGTAATGAGGCTGTTGTAGAAGTTAGGTTTTGCTGTTGTAGAAGTTAACTGTGACACTCCAACTATAAAGGACCAGATTACAAATTAGTGGAACAAGATTTTATTTTTTAATGCTTTGTCCACAAAATAGTTTCAATGAACAGATAAGGATTTTCCTTTGTCTTCACTTGCTTGTTTGTTACTTTCATATCCTACCTTTTCCCCATTGTCTCCAACGTGGCACACATAGGTCTCTTCCTCACTTGTATGCTCACAACAGTCCTATGAGGTAGGTTAGACCAAGAAGCAGTGACTGGCCCATGATTACTTAAAGAGCTTCATAGATTTATTTATTTATCATTCATTAGATAGGTGGAAATTTGAATGTGAGTCTCCTAGGCCATGTTGCTATTACAGTGGGGTCTTGACTTAAGAACGGCTTGAGTTAAGAACATTTTGACTTAAGAACCACTCTCATAGGAAAATATTGACTTGACTTACATACTTAGATTTGAGTTAAGAACAAAAAAAAACCATGTGGGAGGCAGGGAAAGTGCAAAATGTGAACTTTCAGTTAACTGTTGGCCAGTGAAAAGGGTGCCTGTCTGCTTCCTCACTCCTCCCAGCATTTAGAGAGTGGATTGGGAGACAGTCTTCAGACTGCCTGGTACTGAACTGCCTGGACTGTATTTTCCCTGCCTTCCCTGAACCTTTCTTGACCTAAGAAAAAAAAGAAACAAAATATCCCCCTCTAGTGGCAGAAGGCGGAATAGCAGCTTCCCATTAGTTTCTATGGTCGGAAAAGAGCAGATACGGATCAAATGGTTTTCAATGCATTCCTATGGGAAATGCAGATTTCACCTGAGAACTTTTTGACTTGAGAACCGCCTTCCAATACGGATTAAGTTCTCAAGTCAAGACCCCACTGTAAGGTGGAAATTTGAATGTGAGTCTCCTAGGTTATGTTGCTATTATAAAGAACATGTTATATGCCCCCTAAATATATCATTTTTAAAAATGTGGACTTATAGTACTGTATTGATTTAAATGCTGACAAGTGCCTTCCTCTTATTTTTCATGATTTTTAAATAGCCCAACATTCACAGCCTCCATGATGGTGCATATCACAAATCATGTTGTGGACATTTCAACCTGGCACTATTCTCAGCACCAAAGCCCTATCCATCTATTTGCCAGAAGTGGCTAGGCAACTTAATTCACAGGGTAGTTGATAATAATTCATTGCAGTTATTTAGGTTGCAATCTTATGTCTACCTATCTTGGAGTAAGCATCATTAATATCTGGTGGGATTTGCTTCTGAATAAGCATACATATCATAGAATCATTAACGGCCTATAAGGCCATTGGTCATTGGGTTCAATCCCCTGCTCAATGCAGAAATACAAATCAAAGGATATCTGCCAAGTGGTTATCAAAATGTCTCTTGAATGTCTTCAGCATTAGAGTACTCACCACTTCTTGAGGTAATTGGTTCCATTGCCATACTGCTCTAACATTAGGAAGTTTTTCCTGATATTCAACTGAAATCTGGCTTCCTATAACTTAAGCCTACAGTATTGTTTTGTGTCCTGCCGTCTCCGTCTCAGATGACTGAGAACATATCCTGACTCTCCTCTGTATGACAACTTTTCAAATATTTGAAAAGTGCTATCATATCTCCCCTCAATCTTCTTTTCTCAAGGGTAAACATGCTGAGTTCTTTCAGTCTTTCTTCATAGGGTTTATGATTGTCCTGCAAGCAGCCATCCCCTAAAGGGGCAAAAGTGGGGCAAGATAGTGATTATGTTTAAGATTAGTTTTGTTTGGACTACACAAGCACTGGTGGGCAGTTGCAGTAAAATTGCCACATGCAATTAGCAAGGCCTCTGCATATGCTGTCCTTTTATAAACGACAGAATAATCTAAACATCTGTATTAAAGGTGCTACAAGAAAAGGCTTGTTCTCATCAAGTGGTACAGAATTGTAGTTTTTCTATAATAGTTATGGAAATAATTGTGGAGCGCTGTAGAAACTATGTAAAGTATTGGACTAGCTTTGGAAAGAAGCCAATATATTTATGTTGGATTATAGCAGAAACTCTAGAAGATGTAATATAGTTATTTTGTTCTTTAAAACACACACACACACCTTTCCTCTGTTCAAAAAGGCAAACACAATTAAGTTAGTCACTAAAATGCCTCTGTAAACAATTGTTTCCTGAGGACTTGGACACAGAGATAGGCATTCACACCTTGAAAAGGCTTCCACTTGTGTTGAAATAAAATAAATATGATGTAAAAGTCCAATTATAAGAATGTTTACTCAGGAAGATGTCCTAATGAATTCAGTGGGACATCTTTAAAAAGTGGATTTAGGATTCCAATCTAAAATATATTAAAGTGGTCCCTTTTTTTGTCTTAATCTTAAGAATTTTTTTCTCTTCAGGGTCATAAAGATTGGGTGACAGACGTTGCAATCAGTAATGACAAGAAGTGGCTTGTTTCCTCCTCAAAGGTATCAATAAATTTATAGAAATAAAGAAGCTTTATAGGAAAATATTCTTAAAGATGACACAAAAACTATTAGTAGACTTGGCCAAAAGAAAATTTCCAATATTCATTTTAGGCTATTAAGTCAAACGAAAAGACCCATCTTTTGTATAACAGATTGTAATGTGTTTCAGTTACAATGTTACTATAAATGCTTTATTTATTTTAGGTAATAATGTTCTTGGAAAAAAATAACTGACATAATTGATCTTATGTGTGTAATTAATGATGTTTCTTATTATTTTAAAAACATGGCTGAGGATCATTTATAGGGATTTGCAATCATTTTTGTATTTTCAGGTGAGGCTGGGTTTTTTGTAACAATGAACATTATACTACAACTGCAAAGTAATGTGTTAGTAACAGATTTCAAATTTTATACTTGTAAAACAATGTCTGAAATCCTGTTGCATAGTTACACAATTTTTTGGAAGCAAATCTCTATAGACATTCTCTGTTTCATACTGAATTTTATGATTTGGTGTATAACACACAAGTCCATTAGTGTAACTGCACAATAGGATTTCAGCCAGTAAGTAACAATTTCCAACCCCCGCCTGCAAAAAATGGAAAATAAAAAAAGATGACACCTAAGATGTTCAAGTAGAGAATGAACATTCAGAATTTTTCCAAGTAAACGTTGGAGTTCTCCAGAACTTTCTATACAGAAAAATAGTAAACAATGGAGAAATAGGGGGAAGGGAAGGGCTAATGTTTAACTTGTGAAATAAATATCCTCTTAAGATGGAAAATAGAAGGAGACTGAGGATATGACTAAACTGGATTTGATTCACAGCCTGAATTAGATTTTAAATTGCAGTCAGTGCTCATTCAGGGGCTGTGGATTGACCTGGCAGTTTATTTTCATACTGGAATGTGATGCAATTAACATTCCAGCTCACAGACCCACTTCTTTCCTGCCTTCCTCTAGTCCCACCCCTGCTGACCTCTTTTATGAGGCATAAATATGGGAAATAACAATAACGATGACCCAACGATAAGGTGATCTAGTGCTAATTTCATAAATGTAAGAATTTTTAAAAATTTTAAATAAAAAATACAGAGGTCAATTGGGAAGAGAAAAGAATATGGAGGATGTGTTCCCTCGGTCCCGAACATCACGTCCCAACTGCTTATCTCACCGAAACATCCGCTACAAACATGTCCCCCATCTTAAAAAGAACATGCCACAACTGACCACACAGGAAAAAGTCCATTTGGATTGTTAAAGCTTGAAAAACTAGGACACCCCCATGGCAAAGAAGAAAAGCTGCTTTGAAAGCAACAATGACTTGACTAATTCAAATCAGCCTTTGTGCCATGTGGTCAGTAAAAAATAGTTTGAATTCATAAATGTTATAAGCAGAGCAAATCTCACAGTATTTGACCATGTAGTCACAGGCTACATTAAATACTTGCTGAAATCCTGTTTCATATGTTATGCACAGCAATTTTTCAGAAATAAAACATTTTGAATTTCTCCCTGAGGCCCCTATGAACTCCTTTCATTGTTTCAAAGCCATTGAGGTCTGTGGGATGGGTGGAGGGACTTTAATTGCTGAAACACACTGCTGCCAGTTAAATCATTCCCATAGTGGCAATTTCCACTAACTAATGACTTCCCTTTTCCGTGCCTCCTCAATGGCTTCCCAACAATGAGATGGATTCTACAGGAGTCTCAAGACCTTCAAGGAAGAAATCAGCAATGCTTTATTTCTGAAAAATTGAGCAGCTGATGTGTCATCAGCCTTACTCAGCATAATTTATGGCAACAAGATTTCAGCCACTGAAATAGTTTCAAGTTACACTTTGAATTTGCCTAAGTGTTACTTAAAAGAAGAAACATTACAATAAAAAACCTAAGTTTTTAATATATAAAATTGAGCTGTTATTCTGAGTTTAAGCACAGAATACTTACATCTGACATGAGATGTGTGGTTTTGTATACTCTTTCAAATATGCATTTCATTGTGTAACTGTCCTGATGTATGCATCTCAGAAATCAGGTGTACAAGGTATTTCACCATTTTAAAATGCTGAACTAAACAAATGGGTGTTATAATAATGAAGAACACTGTTGTCTCAGGCTAATTGAAAATATATCCAGGAACTGATTGCCTGATGTCTCTATTCTGTGTTCCTCTTGAGTATGGAAGATCTTAAATGATCCCCAGGAGGGTGGAGGAGCTCCCTAGCATTTGATCCTGGCAAGTGCTACTGCGGTTAGGCTACCCATAACATTTTATGACAAAGAAGCAGTGGCCGACTTCCATTTCTGAAAACAGAAATGCCTGACTCTGACTTGTCTCCTGCATTCAGTGAAACACACCCATTACTGAATAAGTGAGAGCTGATCCAGTAAATGGGAAAGTCTCTTTCCTTTCTCTTAGACTATCTGTGCCCCTAAATTTGCTTAAATCGGGACATGCTGTCCTCACTGAAATGTTCAAAAAGGGGTTCTTCTCTCCCTTTGGACAGGCAAATTAGTAACACGACGAGTTCTCTTTGGATAGCAAAATATAAGTTTTTGGTGGCTGCTTTTAAATAGCTGGTGGGGTCCAAGGGCAGCAGGGAAAGAAAGAGAAACTTAAGCCTTTGGTCTCACACAGCATTTAGGAGCAGTAGAAACTTTTTGAGAACTGTCAGAGATGATCTTGAGCAATAAATTGTATTTTAGATTAATCATTGTAGTCTGGTTGTGAGTAACATTAGCCTGTGGAATAGATTTGACTAATTAAGTACAGAGCAGGAGAGGGAAGGAATGTACAGTAATTCAGGTGAACTTTATAGCATTTCAACTTCTATAAAGTTGCATAGTGTGAGCACTCTCTTAAATATGATCTTTATGTTTTAGGATTGTACTTTGAGGATATGGGACATTGGAAATGCTAACAATATTCCGGTGGTAATACAAGCTGTGAAAACAAGAGGCTCTAAGTTAGCTAAGGCCAGTATACTATTTGTCTTCTGGAACAGACAGATCTTGTTAACTGCTTTCCAAAACATTGTGTGTGTGGGGATTATGTGAGCTTTACTGGAGAATATGCTAACTTAAGTATCTGCTTGGAGCCCAATCAACCCTAGAAGTCATACTGTGTGAGCAGAGTTGGTTGAGTTGGTTTAACATTCCCTTCTTCAGGAGGCGCCCTGGAACCGTGCAGCTTGCCCAAGGCTATGGAGACCAAGGAACTTAACTTCCAACCTCTGTACCTAGCTCTCTGAGCTATCCTTCCAGGCAATTAAATATAGTGTCCTTCAGATCAGTGGGACAAGTTGCAACCAACTTATTCCATTAATTTTAGGAGGAACTAAATGCAACTATGGAGGCTTATTTTACAGTCTCTGTATAAAGTTATGTACAATCTGAATCCCTTGCATTTGCAAGGAAAAAATAATATGCCTTTCTATTTTCAAGCTTAATATATGTATTACATTAAAATCACTTTTTTTTTCATTTTAAAACATCTAGTGCGAAGAATGTAAGAAATCTTTCCTGATCTTCCAGAACAATGAAGACCAATTAGAAACAAAGTGTGTTTTCTGTCGACTGGCAACTCACACCAAAAATGTTTTACCAGTGCCTCCAACTTTGCCTACTGATCTCTAAAGCAATGGAAAAAAATGTATGCATTGTAATTTAAAGAAAGCACACCTCAGTGTTCATAATGTAATGTGTTAAAGTCATCTGCCTACATGTATGGAATTCAGAAACTTAAAAAAAATCCAGGCTGAATTTTAAATTTTCCCCACCCCCACGCACATATATGTGGTAAGACATTAAAAGTAATTTTATGCCAAATCTGGCAGAGCATGATCAGTTTAGAGGTCTACAAGTGTCCCACTGATTCATAAGGGTAAAATAAGAATTGGTAATGTCAAAGATGTTGCCAACATTTCTACTGCAAGTTTTATGCAGCTCTTAAGTTTAATTGAAAACATCATCTTAACTCAAATCCAGTGGGTGGAATATATATACTCAATCCATACAATATACACTGCAGTGGTTGATAAATGGAACAAATGATTGTATGGGATGGCATCTATAAACTCGTAGACATACAGTGGTGCCTTGCAAGACAATCTCAAAAGACGAAAATCGCTGTCTTGCAAAACCCAGTTCCCCACTGAAATGCATTGAAATCTATTTAATGTCTTTCAATGGGGAAAAATCAGTGTCATGTGAAAATTGTCCATTGAAGACATCATCTTGCAAAACACAGTTCCCCATACCATATTGGGGAAAAGCAATCCCCTCCCCTGCACTGCCTTTGGAAATGCAAGGGGTCTCAGATGGCCATCCCCTTTTTTTCTCTCTCTAGCAAAGAAAGAGGATAAAAGGAGTCAAAGCAGCCCCTTAGTTCCTGATAATGATGACTCCTTTTGCCCTGATCCTTTACCACAGGGGAGAAAGAGAGGGAGAAAGCAATACAAGACATCACCAGAACTTGCTGCCTTTGGAATAGATCCTAATAAGAAAAGAAAGATAAAAAGAAATCTAGAAAAACCAGGGAAATCACAAGGACAATCCCCATTAACACAAATTATGCAGTTGAATTCCCCACATTTGGGGAAATCATAGGGATCAGCAACACACCCAAAGTGCAACGGATGAGCCTCCCCCTGGGAAAAACACTTTTATGACATGGTATTTGCCCTGCAGGGTATGAGTTGGAATGGCCCTTTCACTTCCTACCCCCTTCTGTCCCCTGACCCCCCCCCAAGTCATGG